ATTTTCACCATTAAGTTGTAAATGCGCACATCCTGAAACTGGACACAGTGCATGCTGCCGACTGCTTTTATTTAAAAGGTACGTGAGCGATGGGCGAAATATCTGTTCTGTAGTTTAGAGTGTTCAAAACAAAAAACTGCATTAACATCCGTTTAATACGGTCTATAAGCAGACTGTCTGATAGACCATTCACAATTATAATTTAAATGTCAAGCGAACTCACTTTTAAAGACATTAGCATGTATCAGCATTGTAAGCACTTCCCTTTAGAGTGCTATTACTAACACCAACACATGTGATTCTACAACTACTGCTAATTGGGATATTTGGGATTTATATCCTTATGGTTACATTAGTATGCATTGGAGTGTGAGCACTCAACAGTATGCTCTGACAGTTGCGATTATTCTGTTGGCGTCGAGCTCGTTTAGGAATGGCAGGAATGCGCAAACACATGAACTCCCGACATTTTACAAATTACAGTAGATCACACAACCGGCACACGAATTGACGTAGTGTAAGGCGATTCCAGTGAGCATGCTGTAGTAACATTAATATTGCACTTCTTAAATTTACACGTAAAACAAAGAGCGCAAACCATGGAAATGCCTAATGCAACACCTATTGGGCTGCTCTATCCGCAACTACTGTCAATGTTTGCCAAAATTCCTCCTACCTAAAGTTTCTCGCATCTGTGAATCAGTAAGCATCACATCACTTACATGCCAGTTTGATGATACGGATCGCCTCATATTGCGTACGAAACGTTCGAAAGGCGTCAGGCCAAAATATTGCCTGCTAACTGCAGAATCTGGGATGGATATTTGAAAATATAAAGGTCGTTCCAAGCTCGTTCGATATGCCATCATATCATCTGTCAGCAACAACAATTAACCGAAAAATGACTAAGCAATAATTACACCGCAGAGATTGTAAAAGAGTGACACAATTATCAGTCGACAAAAGAAATCAATTTATAGGCTACGTGCGCTATTCGCACGCCGTATTCTATTCACGGATAAAATTACATGTCCAAGTTAATTTGACGATTTGCTATGGAAGCCCTATTGCAATTAATACCAATTAAGAAAATTTTGCATTCCGAAATAACTAAAAAATATCATTCAATAACAAATGCGGAAAACAGTCTTGCTGAGAGTTCCAATTCAGTATTCTAAGGAAGATCGGCCAGCACATTTAGTATCATTTAACAAAAACTCCAACTTGCGTTTCACAGCTGTATAAAGATGGTCATAAAATGTGTTGGATGACCATAGGCTCCGCCACAAACTAAATATAGATGCGTTAACAAGGCAAAAATGAAGGACACAGAAAAACATCAGATAGGTAATATCAGGAAACGTCAACCTACGGTTTGGTGAGGTTTCAACCTGGGACACCTTTAGACACTGGTCATATAAATTCGACCGTTTATTCGCAGTCACAATAGTCACGTTGTACAGCGTCATCGCATTCAAATTGCTCACAATAACAGTTGATTTCGGCGCAATGGCATTGATGGACGCGTGCTGCACAGAATTACCATTCCAAACCACTGCATACACCGACAGACCTTCAAAATTCTGATTGGGAGTTTCCCACGAGACTTCAATGGAGTCACTGCTGATGGATTCGATTTCAAATGTGTCAGGCGCTGAAATCAAAACATGTAAAGTACGTCTTCAATTATATCAACGGGCATTTCCTAAAAATTGCCCGAAGTTATATATTGTAAGAAATTTTGCATGTGATTAAACATTGAATAGCAAGCATACAAATTGTCCTGGTGAGCAATCTCCGATATCTCATAGACACGTACGGTGTTTTCCACGTTAAATCTAAAACGACATTTACTACAATGCATCTTATATATTCCTGCCTAAAATACACACTCGCCTATAACATCTGACAATCTATTAATCCGAAATAAATGCCAAGATGACGTTAAGAATAACAATGGAATGCCGACCTTTGGGATTTGTGAAAGACGTCTTCGATTCAGAGGCCTGAACACACTGCTTCGCATCCTTTACCTCCAAAGGACAGTTTTTCACTTCTAGCGCATACTCCGTGTTTGGCACCAAGCTGCTTAATATGCACTCGGCCGGTGTCTTATCAAGGGGCTGTCTGCAGTCAGGATTGAGAACGTCATTCACCATGACCCTTAGTTCCCTGTCAGGATCGGGTAATAAATGCGATGTCCAAATCAACTTCAGTTCAGTTGGTCCGATGTTAACGATCTGAAATTCCCTCACTAAAAAGAGAATCAGGTGAACGTTAGTATACAATCTGTTCGATATCATGATAATTCATAATAAAATAAATGCATGCTACAATGTCGCTTCATTCCACAAAACAATCAACATTATGCACATGCATGTACTAAGTAGCTAGAAGATTCAATTAAATTATTCATGAACAAGCGCACCCAGTTCACGAAAAGAGGTCATTTTTCTGTTCTTGCAAGCATCCAGTTGATCAAACGTGTCATCTAGCTTCCACATCACATTCAGTTATAACTGCGGTTCTAAACATCAGTGTAGATAAAAACTGTGTGGTATGATCTGTGAGCAACTCGGTAATTGCTCATATATTTGTCTCGGCGATAGTATAGAACATTTTCATAAACCCTGGTTGGCGCCCTATATGATTTCATACTTAGTTAATGAAACAATCAAGCATAACTACAGGAATTAGTTGATGGTAACGTGGCAAAAATACAAAATTTGCCACGAGGTTGGCTTGAACATTGTACATCGCCTGCAATCTAGGTGCCCTTTAAATGTGCGGTCACATTAGTTCATATCCTGTACACACTTTTGGCCAGTCCAAGAAGATGGCTAAGACAGTGTGCCCGCATTAATTGCCCAATGTCCAAAAAAGGTTCCACTACACAAAAACTATTATTTGACTTATTGGCGTGAGGATAGTTAATACGACATTTTACAGCTTAGACTACTGCATTCAGATTCCAAATAACATTTGCCGCCAGCGCGATGTTACACTGGCAGACGACACCAAGGCATCAATGTGTGATATTGATTCATGACAAACTTTCCTCATAAAAACAATTCATATATATTAGCGGTCCACCCATTAAAAATATAGTTTGTGGACCGTAGGCAACTGACAGGTAGTTTTATTCACACAAGATGTAAACTCACAGTTTGGTGGCGTCTCAACCTCGGACACCTGGCGACAAGTGTCAGACAAATTCGTCCGTTCATTCGAAATCACCACGGTCACGTTGTACAACGTCGTCGGATTCAAATGGTTCACAATAACGGTGGTCGTCTCCGCATTAGCCTCGGCAGGCGCGTGCTGCACAGAATTACCATTCCACACCACTGCATACACCAACAGCCCTTCAAAATTCTGATTGGGAGTTTCCCACGAGACTTCAATGGAGTCATTGCTAACTGCTTTGGCTGTAAATTTGCCAGGCGCTGAAATTAAAACAGGTCAGATTAGACTCCAATTCTATCAACGGGTATTTTCTGCGACTTCTCCGCAACTATATTTTGTGAAATATTCTGCATGTGATTAAGAAGTGGATGGTGAGCACACAAATTAATTGACCTGGTTAGCAATTTCTGCTCTTTAACAGACACATGTGGTGATTCCTCACGTTAAACCTAAAAAATACTAAGTAAATTTGATCACATATCTTCCTGTTTAAACTGCTCAGTTGCTTATAACATTTGACAATCTATCGATCTGAACTAAATGCCAAGATGCAGTTGGGCATAGTATTGGACTGCCTACCTTTTGGATTTGTGAAAGTCTTCTTTGATTCAGAGGCCTGCAGACACTGGTTCGCATCCGTTGCCGCCAATGGACAGTTTTTTACCTCTATCGTATACTCCGTGTTTGGCTCCAAGTCGCCTATTGTGCAGCTGGCCGGTGTCTCTTCAAGGCCCCTTATGATGTCAGGATTGAGAACGTCATTCACCATGATCCTTAGTTGCCTGGTAGGATCGGGCAACAATTGCGATGTCCACGTCAACTTCCGGTCAGTTGGTCCATTGTTAACGACCTGAAAGTCCTTTACTAAAAGACGAATGAGGTGACCGTTAGTAAACAATGTTTTTGATGCAAAGTTTATATATGATAATGGAAAAGCCTGGCATGTTGCCGCTGCATACTTCATAACAGTTGACTTTATACAAATCGATGTATTCAGTAGCTGCTTGCTTTACTTAAATTATTCAAATTAAGGCGTCCCCGTTAACTATAAGAGGTCTTTTTGCTCGTGCTTGGGAGCATCCAGTTTATGAAAAGTGTGGTTATACTTTCATTTGACTAAGTTTTTTTATTTTTGACTCTAAAACTCGATATAAACCACAGCTGTTTTGTATGATCTGCAAGCATTTCTGTAGTTCCTCCTTCATTTGTTACAGCGACAGTATAGACCATTTTTAGTAAGCCTGGTTGCTGCCTTTTATGATGTCACCATTGCTTATTGAAAGAAATCGGGCGTAAATACAGGAATAAGTTGATGGTTGTTCCGCAAAAATGCGAGCTATACTGTGAGGTCTGCTTGAACGGTCTAATTCGCTTGCAATCTAGAAGTCTTATGAATGCATTACACATATGTTCGTATTCTGTACACATACATTTAGCCAGTGTCTGACGTCGGCTTAAGCACTGAGCCAGCGATTAATGCTGTGTTTGCGAACAAACGTTCCACTGCAGCAAACGATTATTTGACCTATCGACATAAAGGTATTCATACACCATTTTACAACTTAGCTTGACTGCATTCAGATTCCAAATAACATTTGCGGCCAGCCCGATATTACACTGGTAGACGTCACGAAAATATCGACATTTGATATTGATCCATGTCAAACATTCTTCTTCAAACCAATATATTTACATAAGGGATCCTCCCACTAAAAATATGATTTGTAGACCGTAAGTAATCGACAGGTAATTATCCTTCAAACGTAATGATAACGTACGGTTTGATGTGGTCCTAAACCCGGACACACGCACAGGGAGACACGTTTTGGCTTACAAACTACCCTTCTCCTCATTTGCTGCCTGAACTGACGTCTACATCTTTCATCGCTTAAGATCGCATTTATGATGCTCAACCTCGGTATCCGTTCACAGAATCTGCTTTCTCGCAGACTCCCTAAGCCATCTCTCGTACAGCCATAAATCGCTGCGACGATTTCTCTAAACAGCAAATATAAATGTCAGTTCATGCGGCAAAGTGCAATTCAGAGGACGACCTGCCGAAGAATAGCAAAACACATCTCAGCAGCCAGAAGACAATTTACGATCATTTTCAAGTGTGTCATTACAGATGAATTTGATCGGACACTGCAAAATATTAAGATGTAGCACCGTACATAGAAAAACTTCCATCACGTTCATGCAACCACTGCAAAAGATATAGATGTCTGGGGGGTAACTGGAAAAAAATTCCTCAAATTGCGTTTTATATTTATGTTCACGCTGACTGCTCCCTCGTTTCATTTAGCTGGGAATACCAAGCCCTTTGCGTGACGCATTCTGCATCTTTATTTATCGTATAATCCGCTAATTCGGCGGGGCCAGAATACATATTTAATTTAATCTAATTTAATCTGTTTGAAAGATAGCGGTGGCAATTCAAAGCCCGTTTCATTGCTACCTATACCACCTTGTCAAAGGCTTAACGTAGTCTTCAATAAAACATAAGAAAAACTTAATTAGCAATCCTCCTAGCTGTCGAGTTTGTGCAAATCCATGTACTAAGTAGGTAGGTGCTTTACATAAATTATTCATATGGAAGCGTCCCCGTTGAAGACAATGGATTTTTTGCCTGCCCTTGGGAGCATCCACTTGATCAAAAGTTTCAGTTTGCATTCGCTTAACCTAATGTTATTTTAGTGATTCCAAACGTCAATTAAGATCATTAATTTGTACTGTGATCCGCGAGAATTCAGTAGTCCCCGTGGAATAGTATTGAACGTTTTTATTAGTCCTAGATGGCGCATTTTATGATGTCACGCTTAGTTAATGAAACAATTAGGCGTAACTACAGGAACAAGTTGATAGATATACGGTAAAAATAAGAAATCTACTCCGACATCCGCTTGAACAGTGCAAATTGGTTGCCATGAAGAAGTCTTATGAATGCAGGCACACAAGTTCATATTCTGTACACATAATTGGCCAGTCTGACCCGGTGAGTAATGCTGCAAGTGCGAACGAACGTTCCACAACACAAAACTATTAAATGAGTTATTCGCGTGAAGATACTTAATACACCATATTACAACTTAGACTACTGCATTCAGATTCCAAATAAAATTTGCCGCCAGCACGATTTTACAATCGCAGACGTCACTAAAGCATCGACGTTTGATATTGATTCATGACAAACATTTCTCATAAAAAAACAATTGATAAAGATTAGCTGTCCCCCATTTAAAATATGGTTTGTAGACTGTGGGCAACCGACAGGTAGTTTTTTTCACACGATATGAAAACTTACAGTTTGGTCGCGTCTCAACCACGGGCACGTGCCGACAAGTGTCAGATAAGTTAGTCCGTTCATTAGCAACCACAAGGGTCACTTCGTACGTTGTCTCTGCATTCAAATTTTTTACAATAACGGTGGCTCTTCCCGCATAAGCATCGGTGTACGCGTATTGCGCAGAACTTCCATTCCACACCACTACATACACCGTAAGCCATTCAAAATTCTGATTGGGAGTTTCCCAGGAGACTTCAATAAAGTCATTGCCGATTGATTCGGTTGTGAATGTGTCAGGCGCTAAAATCAAAACACGCAAAACTTGTCTTTAATTCTTTCAGCTGGCATTTCCTGCAAACTGCCCGCAGGTATATTTTAAAAAATATTCTGCATGCGATTAAACAGCGAATGGTGGGCCAATAAATAAATCGCTCTGATATACAATCTTAAATATTCAACATAGGCATGCGGTGTTTCCTAACATTAAATTTTAAAATAACACTTAGTAAAATGTATCTTTTGTCTTCCTGCCTGCACTGCTCATTTGCTTATGACATCTGACAAACTATTGATTTGAAATAAATATCAATATGCAGTTGCGTGTAACAATGGCCTGCCTACCTTTGGGTTTTGTGAAAGACGTCTTTGATTCAGAGGCCTGAACACACTGCTTCACATCCGTTGCCGCCAAATCACAGTTCTTTATCTCTAACGTATACTCCGTGTTTGGCACCAAGTTGTCAATTATGCACTCGACCGGTGTCTCATCAAGGGGGTGTTTGCAGTGAGCATTGAGGTCGTCATTCACCATGACCCTTAGTTCCCTGTTAGGATCGAAGAGCAATTGCGATGTCCACGTCAACTTCAGTTCAGTTGGTCCATTGGTAACGATCTGAAAATCCCTTACTAAAAGAAGAATCAATTGAACATTAGTAAACAAAATGTTGGATGCAAAGAAACTTTATCACTTGAGAATATTTTTGGAGAATATCCCTGCATTTAATAAAGTGCCCACGCGCGACTATCCATGTTTTCCACATTGCAGGCATTGTCATTGATTTCGCCATTCAAGTGACTGTATTTAATAGAATATTTGCTTCTTTCGGCTGAATCTGGTGCCGACGACACCGATAGTAAGCATGTACTGGAGTGTTGATAGAATCCATATTTATAATCATGTATAAATCATTCAAGCAATTGCTATAATTTTGTGCGTTTCTTACTTTTTAGACAGCATCACCCAACATGGCCTACCTACAGTTTAAAGCTCCTTATTACCTATTTCGAAGTGCAGCAATAAAATAGAAATGCTGCAAAGGCGCATTAATGACTGATGTACTAAATGCGAATCGAGTTCATTTTGAGCCAAACGTTCGACATTTCGAGAACAATCAGTGCGCAATTTTTTCAGGTTTTCTGATAAAACCTAAAAGCAACTCTTCGCTTACATTAAATACGTTTGTATTATATTCTATTGTATCTGCATGTACGTGCATTTTATATTACCAATTTCAACTGATATGCATATATATGTGTATATGCATATATGTTTATATATATATATCAATCATGATTGACATTCTACTTTTAGGTATTTATGTTAGAACGCAGTAACTTTGAAGTTCTTGCTTGCTTACCGATCTCGTCTTGACAGAAGCACTCGACAATAGTCACGAATGTCACGAATAAGGTTATCCATTTCTCCCTCAGCATCCTTTTTCCTGAGTTGGAAGCTCACGAACCGTTTTCATATTACCGCGTTTATATTCTCGACAAGGACGAATAAAAGGCGGTTCACCCCCATGAATTGATCAAAGTTACTAAGTCAAACGAAGGCCGAAGTTTTTTTACGCCTTATAAAAATCGGTTATTGTAACAGCAAAAGGTGCGCAAGTTGAATATTCTTGTGATATTGAACAATATTGCTTCAAGACCATAGTTTACAGTAGTTTTTATTGTCTCTACAACACTTGCCCCCCTAACACGTTGGGACTAGAGGGTCTTTGGCTACCTTTGTGTCAACTTTATTGGCAACCTTGACAATATCTAGTGTCTGTGTGTCCCTTTTACTGCAAAATAAGTTTTTCTTCTGAATAAATGACATTTCTCTAAAAAATCGTAGACATTCGTTAATTTGGCATCGGTAAAATTGATCGTTTGAAGAGAACTTATGGCCCGGTTGCGTGCGCATTGTGTGGGTGCCAACACAGCCTACACAGGCCAAAATCCATGAATTCTGTTATACGTAAGCCAGTGTTGTTTCCTAGTCCATTATTACTTCCTTCGTTAATTTGACAGCCACGGTATTTCTGACAGTCAGACCATAATTCTCGTAGCAGTCTTAGTGTTGGGGTTGCAGTTTCGCCCTTTTATAAAGCTTTCGCCTATTTTTCGAGAGTAACGAAAAAGCCTAATTGCCGTGCAAAACCGAGAAGCACCAGATAGAATAGAA